CCCGGAGAAATCAGAAACGGGGCATGAAAACACGCAGAAAAATCACCAGGTGCTATTTTACAGCACAGCCTCAGCCCCAGAGGTCTGGCTGCCCCGGAGCGGCCGCCGCGGCCGTTGCCCCCGCTCTGGTCAGGGACGTCCGCCCGCCTGTGCCCCGGTTTGGGGATGTCTTTGCCGTTCTGCTGGCCCTTCCTATGGCACTCCGTCACTTCAGTCCAGGCTGCTTTTATCCTACATTATGCTGATTTTACTGTAGTACTATGGTCTTCATTTTATAAGTGGGAAACTGAGGCTTAGAGAGATCTAGGACTCTGATCCTTCCGTATTCAGACACTTAACTCCTATTCAAAACTAATTAGGCTGGAGACGAGTGACAGAGCGCTGACATTTGGAAATAACAGTTCTGGGGCCCGGTCCTGGGCCTTTACGGTCCCAAATGATCCTAGCTCCTGTTAAAACGCGGTCTCTGTAGCTCCCCTCGGCCTAAAGAGCACCCGCCCTGCTTCCTGGGTGGAAATCCCGGATCCGTGGGACCTGACATCCAGGAGGACCCTGCTTGCCCTGTGCTCATGGGAGGCTGCTCTAGCGGGATCTGCAGACCCTGCTTTCGAGCCCGTTAATGAGCACAGCCGTGCCCATCACAGCTCTCTGTCCCGGTTGGGGCCCTGGCAGAGGGGTCTCAGCACAAGTTCTGAGTTCAAATCTCGGTTAGGAACATGCAGAGTGCAGACAGGAACGTTTGCAATGGGGGGGATCCCTGCCACGGGGTCATAGCGCTGCACAGAGGAAAAGGTGCGTGTCTCTCCTTCGCCCCTCTCGGGCACCTGTCCTGCACCCAGGCCCCCTGCCCCTGCAGCACCCTCCACGGGGGTGCGGGTAGGAGAGCTCTCCTGGATAAGCGTACGTTGCAAGCTGGCCGGTTACCTTGCACAATGGAAAGCAGGCGGCTGTATCCGCTGCTTAAGAGCCTTCCCCTTGTGCAATAACCTCTCATTATTTTTTAATGTTGTTGTAACTTTATGGCTTAATCAGTATTTGCAATTTGTTAGTAGTCCAGGCTGCAATAAAATTGTTTTCCAGGTACTGAAACATCCTATCAAGGTTTGTAAAGCAGTGGTTCTTAGTTTATCACACTCATAAAAAGCACTGGCAACTTGACAGATATAATAACTTTTTTTATCAAGTGTCTAATTTGAGAGGAAATTAAGCCATACATTACATGCCGATCTGAGCTGGAATTGGAAAAAGACCCAGCCACCCCTCTCCCTACCCCAGCAAGTTTCCCTTCTCATCCCAGCCTCTTCTGTACAGAAAGGACTATTTAAAGCTGGCCGTGCTTCTGCATTCACTCTGCAGTATCCTCAAATTGTGTGTGTATTTTTACAGGGCACTGCACACTTAATAAAAAATTATTTATGTGGCCTGCATTGATGTCACAGCAGTGAAACAATACCTTGCCTTTACTGCAGCAAAGAGTGGTGATTTATACGAGTGCCTGGAAAAGCTTCCTCGAAATGCAGTGCAGATGCTCCAGGCCACTGTAACAACCGCTATATCCAGTTTACTTACGGGCCAAGATTTTTAAATCAGGCAGGTGATTCTGGGTGCTTCCATTTATGGCATCCATTTCAGGGCGCCCTGAGGGGCTGGGAGTTCATAGGCACGAGAAAATCTAGCCCTGTCAGGCCTTGGAAAACCGGCATTTTTGTCCTTAAAATGCTGGTCAGTCTAGCAGAATACCCCCCACGCAGATCTGTCTACTCAAAACAGTATTACTGAACTGAGTGATATCGGCTGTATAATTGCCGACAACGACCCACCCTTTGCGAGGCTCTCGCTGCGCTCCCAGGCCCTCTTTTGGCCTGCGCTCCAAAACGTGCCGATGTACCAACGTGCGAATGAGACGAGATCCCAGATCAGGCCCTGCCGGCGGACAGACCCGGGAGCGCGAGGACGTGCGGGGCGGCCCTCGGTTTCATCCCCGCCTTCGCAGCCCCGAGTCTGGTCCTGCTGGCGTCTTGCCAGCAGCTCTTTCTCTGCTGCGCTAAATCCATGGTGGGAACTGAGGAAGAGAATGCCCTCTATCCTTAGGCAGTCGTTTCAAAGATAATTATTTTGGTGGTTAATTCCAGCACTGATCTTCCCCCGTTCCCATAAGTGGTACCAAAATACCAATAAACAATTGAGCAACGAGCATGGATCACCCAGAGACGCCCTTCTAAAATAAGACTTTCAGACCGATGCCCAGGTCTCCCATTGTCTGACCTGCTCTGCAGGCAGAGCGTCTCGCCCTGCCACGCTGCACAGCGTAAGCGCTTGCTGAGGCCAGAATGCATTTGCGTTGGAAGCCTGGAGTAAAAGTCAGAGGCTGACTACAAGCTGCATACTGTGTTTGTTTAAATTTTCATGCTAGCGAATGTCTCTGACACAGGAGACAGGTTTATGGAGAGCGAAAAAAAATGTTGACAAATGGCCCAGTAATCAACTGGAACATGCAATAAATCATTGGAATGCCAATAACACTTCCAGGACGAGTTGCGAAAGGTCATTACGATGCCACCATGTATCATGCAGCGCCAAACAAAGCAAACAGAACATGTTGGGAATAGGATTATGGGAGAAGCATCTGTCAGTTCTAATTAAGAATTAACTATGGATCCTATATAAAAAGATGTGCAGTTTATTCCTCTCTCCCTCCTTTTCCCACTTAGCACTCCATTTTTTCCCTCTCCAAAATGAAACTCAATTATTTACAAAAACCTCTTGTCATTTAATCTATTCAATGGCAGCAAAAATAACCTAATGTGACAAAAGAGTGAAGGCAGAAGGGGAGGGACAGGAGTCTCTCTTGTTTCTGCAGCGCGCGGGAGGGTGGCCCGGAGCCTGCCCGAATTGCCTGAAATCCCAGAAGTCCTTTGGCATCTCTGAATCGTTTGTCTGTGATGGTTGCAGAAGGCGGAAAACATATACACCAAAACACATCAACCCTGCCCTTGGTGTGGGTAGGGGGTGCAAATGGAGGGAGCATGGAGGTTTAGATGCTGCAATGATTTTGGCTACCGAAGGAAAAAAAAAAAAAGGCAAGATAAATAAGCAGCAATAAAATAAAGCAGATTTAGCCTGAGAGGAAGGGCTGCATTAATGCGGCCAACGAGGGCTCTCCGGGCCTCTTTCACCCCGCGGCCTCTCCCTGCAGCGCGCCTCGCTCGGAGGGCACCGCTCCTCCTCTCCATCACGCATCCCAGGGATTTTATCCCCTTTAGTTGTTCATTCGCGTTATCTACATCAGGCCTTGGCCAAAGCTGGGACAGGGGGAGGGACGGCTCTTGATTCATTCCCCTGATCAGCCTTCAACACCTTGCGGAGACAAGCCACATTAGGAGCCTACCACCGCCGTTGTTCTGCATGACCCCGTCTGCGTAAGCATCTCATAAATTGCCCCAACACCTCCTTCCTTTTCACCTTGTCCTGCCTCTCCTCCTTCAGGCTCTCCTTTCTCTCTCTCTCTCTCTCCCCATTAATCTGAGCTGCATTTTATCATGTGGGCGCCTATCCCAGGTCTCCTGCTGAGAGGGCTATGCAAGCAGCATGCTTTTCTTTATTATTATTATTTTTTCTTTTCTCCTCTTCTATATTTCTAGCCCTCTTTTCTGCTTAAGCTTGCATTTCTTCTTTTTCTTTCCTTTTTTTCTTTTTCTTTCTGCTGACTGAGACAAGACTGTGTCCTACTTCAACATCCCAGGATTTGTTACAACTTGAAGGTGCAGGTTTATAGCCACGGTTGTCCCGTTTATGGTACAGTTCTTCTTATGGGTTCTAATAAACTTTGTAGCTCCAGGGTGCTCTTAAATCCTGATATGAAAGATAGAGAAGAATCATTATTTAGTCCAACTAAATATAGGATGCTTCACCCTTGAAGGCTGAGGATAATGTTTCTTTCGCAGGTGTGGAAAGACCTATAATTCCCGTGTACAGCAAGTGCAGCTGCAGGAAAAAAATAATCAATTCTCCCCATGGAAATAAGCATACTCACCCCATGCAGGAGGGGGAGAAACGATGCCGTCTGGGATGGGTGCAGGAGAGGAGGGCTCCTCTAGCACTGGGGAAACAAGAATAAAATCAGCAGAAGTTGCAGTAAACTGAAAAGGGTTTTTACCTGTCAGGCGCCCGGGGTTTGGCTGGCGAGAGCTGAAGATCCCCCTTATTACAGTTGCAAGGTTTCTGAATTCAGCTTCTCTGACTATGCATGCACAATTTTCTTCTAAGAAGCTTCCCTAATATCTGAGGGTTCAGTTTTCCCTGTGGGCACCTAAACCAAGCTCAGCTCAGCAGAATACAAAAAGCAGTTTACAAATGGCCGGGGTGGAAATGCTTCATGCCAAGAACGTGCCAGGATCTGGTCAGATGAGCAGTGGCCTCACTGACAGCGTGTTCCTGTGCTTTAGCGTGAAGCGACACAGTAACAGCCAAATAATTATACTTAAAGTGATGCAGCTGAATTGAATATTGCAGTACATGATTGGCTTTGTAGTTTTGATAGAAGTCTGTTGGCTTTGTGACCGTTTTTATGCTAAGGCTAGTTCAGCTCTCCGCAGGCGCGGGAAGGATCGGTTAAGGCCCTTCCACCACTACCTTGCCCTGCAGCAAGGAGGGCTGTGGGTTATACGTTAGTTAAAACTTTCTGCCATATATCCTGTCCGTGCTCCTCCTAGGAAGTAGATTCAGTTTGAAATATACTTGAAGGCTCTGAGCAAGGGAGGCTAAATTATGAGAGCAAAAAACTCATCCATCTCTTTAAGCTCGTTCATCTCTTAAAAGCTTCTGTCCTGGCTCTTATTTTCAGCTTAAGCAAGTCGCAGGGATGGACTTAGGGGAATTATGGCATCGCTCCTTTTGAGGGAACCCAACCCCAGGATTTGCTGCTGTTTCTCCCTCAGGGACCTTTGCTTATGCAGTGATAATGAACTAATTGTTTATTTGCGTTGCGCCTGCTGTTCCAGATAAAAGATCAAGGCCCACATGCAGTCCGCACCCCACAACCAAGCAAGGAAGAAAGCAGACATTGTCCAAGAAACCTTGCAGGAGACCTTGGTACACAGTACCACGAAACATCAGCCGAAACTGAACTGCAGAGTCTGAAGTCGGTGCCTTATAAGAAACCTGCTCTGTGTCTCAATCTATGGACTTTCTGTGCGTCCACGTACCCTCTCACACACCAAGAACTGTTACTCGTTAGTGCTGCTCTAAATGTCAGCTGAGAACTGACATCTTTGTGACAGTGGTGAATTGTCGCCGTTTCCATTGTCATGTGCCTGGTAAGAGATGCAGCCCCCTGTTCCTAACTGGCTGAAGGAAATCTGCCTGTTGCAAGAGAGGGGGAACAAAGACCCCATTCCCCAGGCAGACCGACGCAGCAGTTTATGTACTCCTTTACAACCCCCGGCAGAAGGCTTTCAAGTCTGTGGTGTCTGTGGAACTTCGGGATGTTATATGGCATTATGCGAAGGTGGCAGAGTGACTTGCTACGTGACAAAACACCGGTCGGAAATTCGATGGCACATGTGTAACTCCAGCTGCAAACACCCCTCTCAGTTCAAATAAAGGTTAGGTTTTTTCAGCAAAAATTTAGAGGACGAGCTCAATGGTGACCAGAATAAATAGCTGAAGGCGCGCAGAGTGCCAAGCAATGCACTTCCCTGGGATCAGAAAGGTTTCTCTAGTACGTCTCTGTAACATCCTTGCGGTTGCTGCTTTCTGGGTTCTCTGCAGCTGCTAGGTCTGCTGGCTTCTCAGCGCTTTTTGGAGGCAGGTGCGGCACCGGGTGCGCGGTCACCTGGGCAGGCGCCGCAGGGCGGGCGCAGCTCGGGCGCAGCGGCGCGGGGCCGGTCCCCAGCCGTGCCGCGGGCTCTCGTTTGACCTTGGCCAAGTCTCGGCCCCTCTGCAAAGCGGGGCGATGGCTCCTCGTCCGCACGGTCCCTTTGGGCTCTGGAGACAGAGGTTTTGTTCCCGTGTTTGCGCCGAGCAAGCAGCGATAGAGGCAAGTGCTGGTGCGGGGCCGAAGGAGGATGCTGGTGCTCGGGGGGGTCGCTCCAGCGCGGACGCCAGCCGCAGCCCGCTCAGGGTCACGGTGGCCTTCTCCACAGGCCCAGCTTGCCTGCCCAGAAGACGTTTTCTCACTGTTATTTTCATCTGGAGGAAGGAAAGGAGTAAAATTAAGTGAAAGGGTCTAGACAACTTTTAAGAATTTTCTGTCAATATTTATTTTTCCCCTAAAATTTCTGCAAAGAAACAGAAAAATACAACTGGTGTCTGAGAGGGGCTGTGCTCCTATTCCCAGCTGCACTTTCCACCGCAGGAATCGGCTTCCCGTTTTTTTCAGTTGTTGCCCAACACCAACCAATTATTTCTTATGAAAAAGCTTCAGAGAACAACATAATTTAGCCATTGTTTAGTACGCCGGCCTCCAAACCAGTCAGCTAATTATCTTTTTTCTCCAAACAGCTTGTTTTCCATTAATTTTCTGTTTTATTCTTAAATAAAATGGTAGGTTGCTTATAGGGGAGAAAAGAAGCACACTGATGGAAGCTCCTCAAATGAACTTTCAATTAAATACAACACCTCTGTAAACCCAGCGATATTTATGATTGTGGTATGATGAGAGGTGGGTGAAATGGATTTAAATATATAACCTTCCAAGCACTGCAGGGTCATTAAAATCCCGTGCAAAGTGTAAGAGATGCCCTGCCAGTTGGTGTAGCTATCTGACACTGCTGTCAGCACGGTGCTGTCCGAGTCCGTGGCTCTAGAAGTCCCGTTTCTAAAATCCTTGGGGCAGAGCTGAAAAGAAAAGAACAAAACCCCACGTGGGCTCTTTCCGCCAGGTAGCCCCGCAGCCCTCGCGGCAAAGTACCGCAAGGGACCTTGGGTTTCGATGTTCCTTCAGCTTCAAAGCAGATGTGTATGCACATGGGCATATGCGTATCACTATATACCTCTGCATAGACACACGGAGCATCCGGTTAGAACGAGGGAAGGGCTTTCTCGGGAGTTACTGGGGACGCTGCTGAGGAGTCCTTGCCTCCCAAACTGGGGGCCGAGCGTTGCCCGGACCATCAGTCCCGCAAGCGAGCCTTCGCCAGCCTTTGTTTTGGTTTTGTATGTGTCATGCGTTGTCGCAATTACTCTTTCTTGCGAATGAACGACTCAGTGTCGCTTTTGGCTGGAATTCGACGTTTGGCCCCAGCCGGTTTTAGTCCCTAGAGCAGGAAACTCCCAGAAAAGCCAGCAGGGCTCTGGTAAAGGCAGGGAGTCTCCGTGAGGTCGTGG